TTATATAATTTAAAAATTGTTTACTGATACTACCCTTTAATTGTAGCTATTTGTGAGATTTGTCTTCAGGGACTCACAAATGGTGTGTATCTGGTTTTGTTCTTAAAACCGGGTATTACAATGGTGGTATGTTGAAAGGTCCTAATTGGCTAGAGGGGGGTGAATAGCCTAATTTAAAATTCTACAAACACACTTAGCAAACTTGTTAGAATAACAAATGGCTATAAGCAAGTTTGCCTAGCTCTAGTGTGTCGGCAAGCCACCTAAATGAGCAATGCTAGTTCTTATGATTACTAAGTCACACAACAAAGCTATGTCACTAGTTTATTCTTAGGTGAAAAAGGCAAGCACTAACTAGCAACTACTCAACTAGCTAGCAAACTAAACAAGCTAAGCAACTTGCAAGAATGAAATCAAAGTAATGCAAGTTTGAGTTTAGCGAGTTATACCACCGGTGAAGAGTAGGGGATGTCAATCACAATAAGATATCCAATCAAACACAAAGAGACACAATGATTTATCCCCGAGGTTCACTTGTTTGCCCACAAGCTACGTCCTCGTTGTGTCACCCACAACCACGTGATCCGGTGACTAATTGGTATCACACACCAAGCCTCTTCACTAGGCGTCACAAGGATCTACCAATGGTTTGGAGTTGCAATGACACGAGCAATTTACTAGGATTACCCTTTGGAACTCCTCCAAGGTGGGTATCAACCTTTCACAACACCGGGAAGCCGGTCAAGCACACTCCTTGCTTGCCACCACTGCCCAAGAACTCCTCCAAGCCGGCTAGGTAGGAGCGACCACCAAGAGTAACAAGAAATCCACCGGCAAAACGATGACCAAGTGCCACTAGATGCTATCTCTCATACAAATGCACTTGGAACACTCAAACTCCCTTTGATTTGCAAGATCAAGCAATGGAGATGAGTGGGAGGGAGTAGAGATGGCTCAAAGGATCACCAAGTATTGCAAATGGCCAAAGGTGCCTCAAAAGAGCCGGCCAAGTCCTATTTATAGGACCCCCACAACTCCCTCAAACAAATCCAACCGTTATCACTGAAAACGCGCGCATCGGACAAAAGACAGGTGCACCGGACAAATGTCCGGTGCTCCTAGACCGTCCACGTATCACTTGTTTTAAACGTGCACCGTCGGATCATAACGGTCGCGAAACGTTTTCTAGCCGTTGCCGTTGCACCGGACAAACCAGCCCTGCACCGGACAAATGTCCGGTGCCTTCTTCTCGCGCGCCAACGGCTCTGTCCAACGCCTCACCGGACAAAAAAAATCGAGCCACCGGACAAATGTCCGGTGCTCTCTCTCGCTCTGTCTCTCTCGCGCGACGTTAGGATTAGGCACCGGACACGGGGGACGTGTCACCGGACATGTCCGGTGCACTCTACGCGCGTTTGTTCGGGCACCGTCTCGCTCTGTCCCGAAACCGCTGCTCACGCCCGAGAGCAACGAGCCACCAGACAAGGCACCACCGGACAGAACAATTATCCGGTGCTCTGTCCGGTGCCTCCCCGAGGCTTCTTTCAACTTCTTTTCTCGACGCCTTTTTTTTCTACTTGCCAAACACAAAGTGTCTCTCCAATGTGCATGTGTGTTAGCAAGTTTTCACAAACATTTTCAAGGCGTAGTTAGTGCTCACTAGATCCTACATGCATGTCATGAAATGATCTCACCTAGTGGCACATGATAACTGCAATTCCAATTGAATTTCCCCTCTTTATAGTACGGCTATCTATGCTAAATGCACTTACACTCTCTATAGTGTCTCAAATGCCAAACCAAAATCCCTAACAATTATACCTTTGCCTTGTGGGATGGTTTCCTCCATTTGATCCTCCAATTCTCCAAGTGAGTGGCCTTTATCATCATGTGTGATCAACTCCATCACATTGCCATCTCCACTTGGTGTGCACCAACCTTGCTTATGATCAACCACTTGAACACAAGATTAGTACACTTGGTTGTCATCCAATTAGCCAAAACCAAACTAGGGCTTTCAATCTCCCCCTTTTTGGTAATTGGTGACAACCCTTCACAAAGATAGGATTTTCAATAAAATTGTTGAACTTCCATTGCTTGTCTAAGCATTTATATCAAGTTATATGATTTGGACAAACAATACAAGTTCAGTTTGGTAGTGTTGGCTCCCCCTACATATGTGCTATCTCAAGTTTGGTATAAGCACTACACATATGTATGGATTTTGCAATTTAGGGAGAGTCACTATTACCAAATGATGATAAGGTGTAAGAATGGACCTTTGAAGCGTGTTTCATCGGAGTGCGCCATTTACACCATCTTTAGCATCGATACCACTTATACCACCAAATACCACTTGTAGCTTATTACTTGTATCACTTGAAAGTCACAAACAAAACTAGATACCTCATGAGATCACATTAGGAGCAAGGTTCTAGTAATACTTGTGAAGCTACAAGACAATCTATGCATGCTAGTACTTCATTTCATCATTCAAGTACTATTACTAGCATACACCACACAAGCACTTGTGCATATGCAAGCAAGCACATGTGAAATGCACATTTCAAATGCAACAATCATGTTCATGGGCTTGCTCCCCCTACTGGTGTGCTCAAATTTTAATTGACCCCTTTCCAATGCTTATCATGTTTATTTCTCCCCATCTCTATCTTTGTGACTTATCTCTCCCCCTTTGTCAACAATTTCCAACAAAGGTGCAATGAGTAGAGATAGTCAAAATTTTGTTCAACGGGGTTTATATATATATGAGATCAATTACATATTTGGTTCAATCTAGCTTATTTGCATAGCATGAATTACACGTTTTGATCCAAAGGCAAGCTTCTTCACACATCTTTCAATGGTTATCTTGCACTATGTTGGTCAATCATACTATGGTCATGTGCTAGATCAAACACTAGGATTGCAAGCTCATAAACAAGTCATATGCTACCACTAGATCATATTATCATGGAATCAATAGTAGTACCATACAACAATGAAAACATTTGATTTTCAAAGAATGATCCTAGACACCACTTGAAATGATTTTATATGCACTAACATGTCCTTAGCAAAGATGTATATCATGCCAACCAAAGGATGTACCTTGCTATGTTGGAGAAGAGGCATGGCATATAGTGAGTTAGGTGCATCAACACATGTTGGAGTAGTCTAGGATGTTCAACTCATTCCTTAGCTTGCAAAACCTCTTCTCATCAAGTGGCTTGGTGAAGATATCGGCAAGTTGATCATCGGTGCCCACACTTTCAATGCATATATCACCCTTTTGTTCATGATCTCTAATGAAATAATGCCTTATGTCACTGTGCTTGGTTCTTGAGTGTTGGACCGGGTTGTTGGTCATCTTGATTGCACTCTCATTGTCACATAGCAATGGAACTTTGTTGAGATGGATTCCAAAGTCACTCAATGTAG